TGAAGAATCTATCTATATACTACTAAAACTCTGAGATTGTTTGGTTGGTTATTTTCTCAGTTAAAAAATCATTCATACTACCGTTAGCGCTCTTTACGAAACTTCTTACTTCACCTTTTGAAAAATTAAATGGTCTTTCCTTTTACTCCCGATCAACAATCAAATATCTTTTCTTGAATAATGAATAACAGGAATGGATTGAAATATCTAATTAAATTATCTCAAAATAAACCTTCATATTGGTACAATATTGAAATTAGCTTGAATTCTTCATAACCTCTGAATAGTGGTTGACCCAACGGGTCAAGATGGTCTAGTGAATTATAGTAGTTACTTAATAAAATTTTGAAAATAACTGTTTAAAAGGTCATGACATGCGCACTTTAACCTGCTCACCGCATAAGGTTTACCGATTTATCGAGTGCTCGTATAGAGAACTCAGACTAAAGACACTGCCCTTAATTCAGAATATCGAGGTGCCCGTTACTGCAAGAAATATTTTGGTTACAAATAGTACAAAAAAGAAAGAGAGTGAAAAGATCTGCCCAGTTGTTTCAAGGTGCTCGTTAATCTAGTTTCTAATGTACATTTAATGTTCATCTCTGTCCACGCTGTACTCCTTTTTCCACCGTACGCGTTTCGTTCGTTAATGAAAATATAGTTGAGTACCAGAATACATCTTTTATCTATCTACAGCAGTGGTTCTCAACCTTTTTGAAACTCTTCTGCTGTCAAATTTGTGTCACGGAACCCTTCACAGCATTTATTGCAAAACAAACCAAAAAAAACATCAATACTATATCAACAATTCCAGACAGAGTATGTATTGTTACAAGAGCGGAAGTCAGGCGACGCTGGGAGAATGCGCGCTGGAGTTTCTTGAAGGATCATGAATTATCGGGGAAGACCGAGTTTGTTCAAAACGCCCTCTTTTTTTAGTATATAAGCCTGGCGAGAAAAACCAACGGGATCGAAGAGATAGTTAATTGAGTCAAACGAACAGTAGGCACCGT